TGAGGAGTTAAAATTTTGAGAGCTAATTTTTTTTTAAAATTACTCGTGGAATTTTTACAAAACTTGGTAGTCTGGCATAATTGAAGTTGTAGAATCGAAATATGGGGAAAAATTGGTATATTATTTCAGAAAAAGTCTGATTTTGTGTCAAAATACCGTGTTAGAATAATATTTTTCGTTATTCGGCCCAGTAGAATGGGAGGACATAGAACTGTCCCTTTTTCTTTTAGCAGTGTACTTTAAATACACTGATTAAAAGAATTTGCATATTTGGTCCATTATATCCAGAACTGATAGGCCAACTTTAATGAAATCTGGCACATCAATTGATATAATGGCGATTGATGTATTTGTATATAATACCAAAAACATGCTATAGTCAGAATATTACATGCATGATACTGAAATCTAGTATGCACATAGATTGATATAATATAAAAACATACCGCAATCATAGTTTACAACACATGATCATGCATGAAACTTATCAGAATTAGAAGATCTAATACAGGTTTGCAAAACTGAACAAAAAAAATCTGATGTAGCCAACATATGACCTCACAATAATTCCATGTTAAGATATGGAATAGGTGGAATAGCAGCGAGCTTTAAGCAAACTTTCAGTTGATCGTTTGTAAAAAAGTTGTATTTGTTTATACACTTAATGGCTCAATGTTAATTATAAAAATGATTCATTTTTTATTGTTCTGTTCTCCCATACAATGACAGAGATAACTATCAGTTTTCATGCTTAGATTTAAAAATATTGGTTTGCTCATAGTATATCCTCTGGTCAAACAGTTTTTTGGTTTCAAACAAATGACTTAACATTCAAAAAATTTTTAAACACAGTATATCTTTAGAATTTCTAATACAGTGTGAAACGTTGTCATTGATTTCTTTTTACATTCTTTTTACATTACTTTTTACATTCATACTTTTTACATTTACTTTTACTTTTTTATTCACATACTAGTTCTTCAAAAATAACAAACTGTAATAACTTTTGGTGACAGCATAATTTTACTTGAAAAGTCATCCAACACAAAATCGAGGATCACGGCTAACACGTTTAATTACTTCATAGCAACAGCTCGTCTTTATGATGAGCTTATTCTCATTGCATTTAGCATGAACACATTTAATGCTTATAAGTGTAATATATTGTTCTCAATCACAAACTTTTAAATTCCAAATTTGAGAAGTTTTGAATTATCTTCTAACTTACTTTTTTTGAATGTTTGCTCAGACTCTTAAGTAAAGTATCACTTCTGGTTTATAAATTTTAGCCAAAACTTAATATGTTGTTCCCATTGATACGGAAGTCTTAAAGACTACAACTGAACAGTTTTGGATCATATTTTATTATAGTTTTTCATTAAAAACTGTTATGGGCTTTAAGTAAAGTACCACTTCAAATTGTCCATTAAAGACTGCTTCTGTAAAGTACCACTTTTGATTGTCCAGTTTTATCCAAAATCTAATTAACTCTTTGTATGAATATAGAAAGCTTAAATAATAAAAAAAAGAGAAAGAAATGTTTCATATAAGTTATCATGGATAAAAAATAGCCACACACATACAGACATCATTGTAAAAATATTAACACGTTAGCTGCCAATCATGCAATATAGCATTATCACTGAAGAGGCAATTAGATGCTGGTGCGTAGTATGGGGTGATGTCTCAGGTGCCAGTCATGTGCTGGATGAGAAATGCTAAGCCTCATTCTTTATTCTCCAGTTCAGTTGGCATTATATTTTCAGTATGTATGCTTGTATTAGTGCGGAGTGATGGTTAAAAACTAGCAGTAAATATATGTGGTTTCGCATTAATTGCCTTATTGCTTATTGAAAAAATAATCTTGCAACATGAGTTATACAGATGATAACTCTATAGGGCTTCCACATAAAATGAAAAAAAAAAAAAAAAGTGCAAAATAAAAATCATCTAACAGGAGATGTATTGTGGCTCAGCTATTGGATTAATTACCCAAGTAACTTTAATTATGATAATGACACTAACAAGGAATTGTTTCTTTCCAAAGATGCTCATGATATTTCAGATGCAAAATCCTAGATGCGGAATATAGCATACTAATGGATAATTACTATAATAGTTATGAACTGGAAAATGTTAACAGTAAAGTAGCAGGCCCTCTGTTAACGGTAAAGTCAAGAAAAATATACATAAATAGAAAAACAATTACATACATGTTTGTACTCTAACAACTCTAAAAAAGTTACAGCAAATACAATTTTTAATTAAATTAACAGAATTAAAAACTTTTGCACTGAAATAGAATTACAGCAAAAAGAAATCACAATTCTCACTAAAATTTTAAAAGAAAATGAAATTCCAATTAACTATATTAACAGTCTTTTAAAAAATGCTGGAATAGTCTACACCCTACAAGATATTTTAAAAGTATGAATTTTTTATATGAAAACTCAAACGCAGCAGGATGAAGAAGAATTTTTTATAAAGTTTTATAGTTTTCCTATTAATGTATTTTTTTTTCCTATTGATGTATATTTTTCTAGACATTTCTGTTAACAGAGGGCCTGCTATATTCTAAATCGGCATGATTAGCCCATGATGTGAAGACTTTTTACTTTTCTAACCTTTTTTCCCTTTCTTCCTTTCCTTTACATATTCCTTTTATATAGAAAAAAAAATAATAATAAAAAAAAAAAAAAATCTTACAAGCACTAAATGCACGTTTTAGGAGATTTCTAATTTGCCATCGTCAATTTGTTTTGCCAATGAAGCCAAATAGGCGACCCTAAGCATCGGTTTTTAATACAACGTTTTTGTTCTTTGTATCAAAATTTGTTGTTTAATTACAGTGTTCTCGTTTAATTTCTAGTCAAGTTTTGTACTTCTACATTTGAATTTAAATTTTTTCAATCTTAATCTTACATTCAACGAAAAACTATACTTAATTACTTACTTTATTCAAATTTGGAAGTGTTTAGTATTTTTCAGTATTGGATTGCTGCTACATCCTCTGAGCAAGTTTTAAATTCATATTCTCAGTTAATTTAACAGTATTTTCATATTTTAATTTTTATATTTCTATTTATTTCAATTTTAAATTTAGTAAAATATGTCTAATTAAATTACATTATTTGATTTGATATTGGAATTTTTATCCTGTGTCAGAAAAGACTTCAAAATTTTCGAATTAACTGTTATAATAAAATACTTTAGAATGATTCATTAGTTGGTTTTCGATACAGAAACAAGAGTGGTTTTTCATGTGCAAGGGAGGGCTGCAGTTGAGTCTGATGTATACTCCTCTTGATAACATTATATCAGATTTGATCGAATTCCTCATGTTTTGTATTTTTTCTGGTTTTTGTAATTTTTTGTATTTTACAATTCTTTAATTCTTATTTTACATATTTATAGGGTATTTTAAAATTTATTTGTTTTGAATTTCATTTCTTTTTGGTCTTTGTGAAATTAGTTCTAAATTCCTTACTTTTTGTTTATACTGATCAATTTTCATTCAGCAGCATATTGCGTGGAAATATTTAGAATAATTTTGTTCCTAAATGAAAAATTTTGTGATGCTATTATATATGTATCTATATATACATCTCTCTCTCTATATATATATATACAATGTTTATGATATAGTTTCATGCAAAGAATTATGCATACTGTTACTTATTTTTATTCATTTTTAAATGTCATATACCCACACATAATGTTGCAATGGAGAATTTATTTTACCTTTAGTGCCTATCGTGCAGGTAGTCACTAAATTCTATGATTAAAGGCTTAGAAATCAGATACACATAATCATATTTTATTACATCTTTTAAATCATATTTCTGATAATAAATAAGTTAACAGCCTAGTTGAAATAAAGCCTAGCTAAAACATTCCTCACTGGAACCTATGTCTTTGGTTACCTATGAAGGACAGTTTACAGTTGATATGGAAATGTTTCACTTGAAATTGTGTCTCTTACAGCCTTTTCTCAAAGAAATTGATTTTGCAAACATTTTTCACTTGAACTTGCGTCTCTTACAACCTTTCTCCAAAGAAATGGATTTTGCATTAAGTCAGCCAATCAAATAACCCAAAAGTCCAATTTCTGAGAAATGTTTCTTTTGATATACTGCTAAGGTTAGCTAGTAGATGTGATAAACAGATGAGATCTTAAACCAATACGCTTAAGGTCTCATCTGGTTACAAAGACCTGATGTTTGCATCCAGCTTACTTTTCTGCACAAAACAGCTATTCTCTTTACTGATGAATCCTGATCAAGAAACACTGATTCTCAATATATTTTCATCTGAAGAGAACCAGGGGCCCACTGCCAACAGTCCAACCTCAGAAAAAGCAACCAGTATGGCAGCAGAAGTTTAATAGTAAAGGCAAACATTATGTGGTTGGACATGTCATTGACAGAAACTGTTTGACTGTGTGTTTGTTTTCATTGATTTTGCAATCCCACCTGACATGAAATGCAAATATATAATGGTTTCCCAAGAACATCTAAGTTCGTGTTTCAAGGCTCCGACATCAGAGTGGAAGAAGTACCCTACAATCCAGATCACATCTCTTTTAATACGTTGCCTAAATAGTATTTGTCATTTTATGCAATACCTATATATTACATGAAATGTCTAGGGAAAGTATAGATAATATTAAAATTATTTAGGTATTTCATAATTTGCTCCTAAATGTCAGGCATTCTATATAGTGCCTAGTCATTTTATAAAACAACAGTTTTACATTATTGGTAACATATATAAAAGCTAAGCAATGATGAAAGCTGAAACACTAATTCTCCCTCCTTTTTTTAAATATAACACATAATAATACACATATTTTTCATTGAAAAAAATATGTGTATTATGTGTATTTTTCAATGGAAAAAATAACAGCATTTTCTAAGTAATGACAAATAACATAACATATTACATAAAAGTATAAATTTGCATTTAATTAAAAGAGTTCATGATTCAAGACTTAAATTTACCTCATAAAAAACTTGGATGTTTGTACAAGTTCTGTATAGAGACAGCAAGAAGGCAGAGCTTTAAACAAACAGGAAGATGGGTGAATTTTGACTATTTGATGGCCTTCTATCTGTAAACAAATACATAGAATATATTATATATTTACTTTAAACAAAAAATATGGTCTATATTACGCAAACCCCATGGAATAAATCAAAGTAAAAAAAAATTCAAAATTCAATTCAATTGTATGCTGATAGAAGTAATAACTGGCAAAAATAATGTAAGATTAAAAAAAAAAAGAAAAAAAAAAAAAAAAAAAAGAGAGATATCTTTAAAACCCATCCCATATTCAGTTCAGAATGAACCACATGTAAAAACCAAAACAGCAGATCCACAATGGCAAAGCCCAAGAAATAGGGAGGCACAACATGCCAAAATAAAACTGAAAAATGATCTTTACATCTTTTGCTGCATCCTCATCAGGTGGTTGGTGCAACAAAAGAAGTAAATAAATAAAATAGATTGCTTTGATTTTTTTTAACATTATTTTTAATCTATCTGCTTCACAGAAAACTCCTAGTTGAAGTAGAACGATTCTCTGAAGGTTTAGAATTAAGACTATAATTTTCAATAAATTTCATATATCTAAAAGTTCTTTTGACATTTAATATTTTTCACATTTGGATTTTCTGCAAGTCTACTTTCAAGACTAACAACAAGTGTTAAAGAGTTTTATTAAATTGATATAAAAGATTACTTCTGTGTGAGAACATCATTTTTCATTACATACTATGGATTCTAGTCCTATTGGAGTATCTGTTTCTTTAAATTAAATCATTTTCTATTTCTCAAGAACATCTAGTGAATATCTTGACTATCTTAGTGTTATTCATTTTTCATCTCTTTCCACTTTCATTTTCCAAAAATTACTTGGATGTTCTTCCACATTTATTTCATATTGTGCAAATTCATTCAAGATTTCTCATAAAATTTCTTCTTTTGTTCACTAAATTTACAATCAAAATGCCATTAACAAATATTGTTAAAATCATGTTTTAAATATACATCTATTCTTGTTTAGAGCTCAATCATTCCAAATGAAAGAAACTTGTTTTCAGTCCATAAAGAGATTTCTTTAATATTTTATTTCCCATGAGCCTTCTGGAACCTTCATGCCTATACCTTCTTTTATGCTTCTGTACAGAAAAGTATATCATATTGCATCAATTCAAACTTTTTCTTAGCTGCTATTTCTTAATGCTGCATTGTTTACAATAGAACTGTATATTTCTTTTAAGTCCATTTCTTCTTCTTGAAAACCTCTTACAACAAGTCTAGACTGTCAAAGACTGTTTGCAAAGACTGCCTGCTTTGACATAAAAAATCCATATACTGCTTTGCTTTTATTCACAATTTTACACGTTTCAATTTCAATTAAAGACCTTTTTCTCTTCTTCAATAACTTCTAATCATTTTTCTTTATTTTCTCCTGATATTGCTTTTTATTTGACAATGTTACAAAGTCTCTCTACTTTGATGATAATTTTCTGTTTCTAATAAGTCATTTAACAAGTCGATGCCAGTGTATAGTTCTAAATGTCTCCCATTCATTAAGACACTCCGAGTCAATTTTGATGAATTAACCCACTACTTCACAGGCCATGGCACTTTTGAATCTTATCTACATTGCTTTCACCTAAGTGAAACATATACCTCTGGCTGTGGAGAAGTGGGAGACACGGATCACTATCTCTTCTCTTGCCTCGACACCGCTCATCTTCATCAAAAGAACCAAGCCAGCAATTTTGGCCCCAATGGGTGGAAAATTTGATTAAGAACAACATAGCCAGAGTAAAGCTGAGAAAACTTATTATGTACTGTGCAACAAAGAACTCACTGTAAGTGGACACAACAGGGCAACCTAGCAAATGGCATCTTCCTCGATCAGAAATTAACCAATAGCTATGCATACCTTTTTCTCAGAACAACATAAGTCTCTATGATTTGTAATACTATGTAATGACACTCTGTAAAGCAGAAACACAACAGTAGGCCTTATTATACAAAGTTTCATTAGTAGTAAAAACACCTTCTTCAATAGTACCTGCATACAAGCTGTTTTTTGTGTGTGTTTTAAAAAATTTATTAGGAAACATAAAACAAGAACTTAATGTTACACAAAAAAATTATTGCAATGAATTTAGAGTGCATTTTTTGGCTTTAGCCAAAAATTCTTTGGAAAATTTCCTGTCATAACAATTAGTTTCCTCATAACATTTAGCAATTAAAATGTTTTCTAGAGTTTTTGGCAAAATTGAAGAACGAAACATAGTTTTGTTTACTGTCTGTTTACTGTACTGTACTGCATTTACGAGGGCTATCCAGAAAGTAGATTACGTTTTGGAATAAAAAAATAAACAAAGTATAGGAAACAAATTTTATTATATACAGATGAAAGCCACACTCAAATACTACTTTTCTACATAGTCACCATACAAATTAAGGCATTTATCGTAGCGATGTACGAGCTTGGAAATTCCTTCGTCGAAAAATTCGGCCGCCTGCGCCTTCAACCACTTCGTTACCTCTTCTTGCCTTCCATCTTGCACAAAACTTGTGGTAACCAAGCTTTTCGCTGATGATTTCGTGCAACAAACTTCGCGAAATTTGTGGAAAACTCAAAGAAAGTTCCGTTATTGTGAAATTTCGATTTTCACGGACTTTAGCATCGACTTTTTCGAGAAGTTCAGTGGTCACTATGCTGGGTCTCCCACTTTGATCTTCGTCGTGAACATTGGTTCGGCCATTTTGAAATCTTATGACCCACTGACGCACTCCACCTTCAGTCATAATGTTGTCCCCATACACTTCACAAAGCTGCCGATAGATTTCTATCGGTTTACAGTTTTTTGCAGTCAGAAACCTTATTACTGAGCGCACCTCGCAGGATTTTCAATTAACGCAGACATTTCAAACCGTCACAGTATCTGAACGGAGCACAGCACGAACCTCTCACTAGCACGGCTAGATGCAGACTGAGCTGCGCAACGCTCTGACCCCAAGATGGCCGCGCTAGCCCCGCCCCTAGCGGACACAGACGGAAACGTAATCTACTTCCTGTATGGCCCTCGTATATATATACTGCATCTATGTATAATCCTTGTTTTACTGCTTATTGTAACAACGGAATTCAATCTTTGCTTCAATTGTATTATGATTATTACCTTGTTCAATTCTAATATCATAATTGCTTCATTCAACAGAGCAAGTAATTCTAATAGCACCTTCAATACATTGTTCAATAGCACTCTGTGAAGTTAGCCTGAAAGTTGTATAATATATGATAAGTATTCTAAATGTTAAGTCATATATCTGTAATGCAGCCTCATGCATCTTAGATTGTAGTATTGTAACTCTTCTTGTTAAGTCCTAAATTTAATCTCTATCTGAACACAGGACTATCAGTGATCTCACTTAGTCAGTGATTAGGACAAGACAGTGTAGCCTGCAAGGATTTATGCATTGCTATAAATAGCCTTGTGGACTTCTTCTTCTTCATATGTTTGTAGCAGTCTGTTCTGCCGGCATTCCTGTGGAGGGGGCGCAGCAGCATTAGATCGCTTCTGCAAGGAGGGCAATAATGCTGTGAGGCAATTTTTTTTTTTAGCCATGGGTCAGCAGTCCTTTTCTGCAGCGTAAAAGTAAAAGTTAACTAGTGAAATAACCAAAACTTTAGAAATTACTATCTTTTCCTTTATTTTCTCTTTCAATGAATTTACCTTATATGCCAGATTTTATATTTTACTAATACACAAAGATACCATACCTGCCAACCTCTAAAGATAAAAATTCAGAAGATTTCTTCCCCAAATTCAGAAGATTTCTCCAAAATTCAAAACACGAAGAATTAATATCATGCTTTGATATTAAAAAAAAATAACAATTTATACAAATAGAAAAAAGAAAATTGTACTTACATTAGTAAATCTCAATTAAGTAGTAACTAAAAAAATTTATTAGGAAACATAAAACAAGAACTTAATTACACAAAAAAATTATTGCAATGAATTTAGAGTGCATTTTTTGGCTTTAGCCAAAAATTCTTTGGAAAATTTCCTGTCATAACAATTAGTTTCCTCATAACATTTAGCAATTAAAATGTTTCTAGAGTTTTTGGCAAAATTGAAAACGAACATAGTTTGTTTTTCTTCACACACACTGAAGACTCTCTCGCACTCAGCATTACTGTGTGGAATTACGAGAATAGCATGTAAAACTCTTGCTAGTCTATCATATTTTGGTGTTCCATCAGCTCTTTTTATTCTTTTTAAGGTACCAACGAGGACATCAAGTCTATCTTCTCCAGAACTGGCAAAGTCTTCAAACTGTGCAGGAGAAAATTGGTTCTGTAGTTCATCTAAAGCATCATTATGGCATTCATTTTCTTTAATTGTTAACAAAAATGGAAATTTATCAATAAAAAAACAAATCTTTTCAAAAGATGAATTTTCAATTTGTTTCAAATTTGCCACTTCAGCATTTAAAAGAACTTCATTTTGCAAAGGAAACATCCTTACAATTTAATCACAGGCTGAGGAAAAGTACTTTCTAACACATTGAAAAAATTATTTTTTCTCATGCTTCACAATGTCGCTTCTTCCACCGTGACTTATTATGAAGTCACACACGCACACGTTGCAAAATGCATAGTTATTGCCTTTGAAGGATTCTTTAATTGTTGGAAATTCGGCTTTGTAGGCAGGCCAAAAATATTGAGAATATGTTTTTTTTAACTCATTTCGTAACAACAGCGTATTAAGAAAATTCGTAGCATGTGCAAAAAAAAAAAAAAAAAAAAAAAAAAAAAAAAAACAGAATGCGGCAATCTACGCTCCGAGCTGAGTAATTCCCTTGCTGCTGAAGCGAACGTGAAAAAAATAATCTGGCGCCCACAAAGAAAAGAGTGTGGGAGAAACAAGTTCAGCGCATTGGATTGACTGGTTAAGCGGCGAGTTGGGAGAAACCGCAGTTTACTGGATTCGAAGTAGTCGATAGTTGGCGGTAAAACACGATGCAATTGGCGAAAATCGCTGAATTGGCGAAAAATTCTAAAATTTTGACAAAAATCACTAAAAGCACTTGAAAAAGGAAAAAAATCGTAAAAAATGGATTACGATCGTAAAACGTAAAAACAAATGCATTTTCGTAAAAATTACGAAAAATTCGTAAAAGTCGGCAGGTATGAGATACACTGGTTCCTTTTTCCTATTAAAAAAAAAAAAAAAAATTGCACAGGGTTCGTACATATTTCTACAGGCAGAAATCAAGTACTTTTAAGGACCATTAATGAAACAAATTAAGGATCTATTGGCAAATGGAAGCCGAATAAATTCAGTTAAATATATTATATATGTCTTAACTTCACTTTTGTAATGTTATCCTAAGAATAAAATAGATTTGTAAGTAAGATGCATTATTATTAAACATAATTATAAAACAAATTTGAGAATAAAATCAGCTTTTAACAAAATTTATCAAGTAGCATTGAATATTTTCACTTACAATAGTTGGACATATTTGGAAGAAGATTAGTGACATTTTATTTATGTTTTATTAACAGTTTGCTTTACACTGATTTTTTTTTTTTTAACCTCATTTAGTCACATACTTCCTCAGCCTAGAGCAGGGCTTCTTAAACTTTTTTTCAAATGCGACCCCTTTTTATCACTGGGATTTTTTTTGCCACCTCAGGACCCCCTCCCATAAAATTTATGAAAATTTTGTGGGACCCCATAAGCATTGCTCTAATTCAACATACGTGTGAGTGAAACCGTCAATTTTTTTTTCACTTGTGCTGTAATATACTATTGCAGTTTTAGGTCATTAACTTTAATTTCTAATTTTAAGACCTAGAACAATGTGAAAATTTTAAACAAGTAACAGACGAAATGACAGCATCATGTGCAAAGAAAGGGAAAATGAATGTTTATACTATACAAAAAATTGCATCCATTGTTTTGCCTTTATTTACTTTCAGATGCATCATAAAAATTTTTTGGTAATTTTAATATTATTGCTGCTAAACTGCTAAAATTGCAAAACTGCTAAAATTTTTGGCGACTCCCTGCTGCAGGTCGTACGACTCTCATGAGGACCACGACCCACAGTTTACGAAACTCTGGCCTAGAGGATTAGTATGAGGGTAAGTTGAAATTCCCCAAGATTTTTTTTCAAAGCCAGAAACAGATGGAAGTCGCTTGGTGCGAGACCAGGACTGTATGGCGGATGGTGTAGGTGCTCCCAACCAAGAGTTGCAATATGGTTTTGCGTTGCCGTTGCCGAATGTGGTCTGGCATTGTCATCCAACAGCAGAACGCCAGATGTGAGTCGAGGCCAATTGTCGGGGCACCCCATCGTGCTGACACTTTTCTGTATCAAAGAATGTCGTGGATGATGTTTTGAGCTCGCTCATGTGAGATTCCAAGTTCTTCCGCTACTTCATTGATGGTGATACGCCCGGTTCACTCTAATCATGTCATCCACCTTCCTGACATTTGCATCTGTAGTGGCCGTGCCCGTCCGTCCAGCTCTCGGTATGTCCTCCACTTGCTGACGTACATCACTGAATGTGCGACACCATCTCTGCACCATTTGCTTCAACATCACACCTGGCCCATAGACTTCCACGAGGCGGTTATGAATTTCTGTTCCTGATACTCCATGTGCCCATTCATAGCAGATAAATCTCGGGGAAAGGCGCTTTGGAAGCAATACTGAAGTGAAACAAGCCGTTCAATGCTTCTTCCATATGCAAAGCCCTGATTTTTTTCCTGGAGGGCTTTTTGAAGCTTATCAAGCGATGTGACAAATATCTCAATGTACTTGGTACCTATGTGGAAAAATAAAGGTATGTCATATCTTTAATGTCTCATTCTATTTTTTGACTTTCATACACAACTCTGACCACAGTCGACAGGGGAAACTTATTTTTCAACTTACCTATGTAAATAGCAGGTATATTTTATGTCAAATGGAACAGGTTAAAATCAGAATCAGCATGATTCGTAATAAAAGAATGGCTGTTGCCACCACTGCTGCGTCCCTAGAGAAAGACCTGCTGATCAGAACAAACCTGAAAGCCTGATGTATGTACTGTTTGCAAGTTTGAAAGTTAGTTGGGCTCTGTCAGTCTGACACAGATAGTGCAGTAGCTTCTGGAGCCTTAATCCAGTTAAGATCGATTAAGGTACCAATAAGCCACTAAAGCATCAGAGGTGACAAGTTGTTTTTTGTGTTATTTTAAGTCTCACTAGATGCAAAGAATAAGTTTTAGATAATTTTTTTTTCATTTTTGTGCTTTATCTTATAATCATGGTAAGGATTAATGAAAGGCAATAACTCGCTTTAATACGCAGAGATAATTTTAAGGCTGAGCAGTTAGTTACAAATAATTAAATTAGGTAGTTAGATATCTTGGTTATAAATTTACATGGCCACTATAATCTAAGACTCAAATTACACCAAACTGCCAAGTTTTCTAAAAATTGCACGAGTAGTTTTTGAAAAATTAGCTCTCAAACTTTTAGATCCTCAATGTTAACTGAGTTTGGTATATATTTATCAATCTCTTGTTTTTTATTAAACTTATTTGATTCTTCCTTTCACATTCCAAATAATGATTTATTTTTTAAATTTGTATATTAAAATAATTTTTATAAATTTTTCGAAAAAAATTTTGAAATATAATCTATCAAATTTTTTCTATCATCTTAAAGTAGAAATATTTCTAAGCATTTGTAAGTAGTTGTAGTAGCAAAATATTACAGTTTTTTATTCAAAATTTCCGAAGATATACGTGAATTTATATACTGGTGCATTTTCAAATTTGGCATATTTGCTGAAAGCGATAAAACATCAAATGTGGTTTAGACACTTTGCTAAAATTATTAGACAGTATGAACGATGTGACTTTTTTCCACTCATGCACAATGTAAAAACGTAGGAACGAGGATCCTTTTTTCCCACTCCGGCATAATGAAAGGCCCAGTAGAACAGGAGATGCCCCCCTTGTTTTGCACAGTGTATGAACATGTAATTGCTACATTGATCAATAACAGTTATACATAACCTGAAATAACTTATGATGTCAAGTTATTATATTATGACACAAAAAAAATGGAATTTTAAAGTAACAGTAACTTGATCCCATTTTCTATGGAACATAATCTTGTTTTGCGGTAGACTGTGAATCAGAAGATTGGATTAATGTTACCTGGTGTTATAATCTCTGAAGAGTGTTTTGATATTCCCAGTGCTGTTTAAACAAAACAATGCACCATGTAACACTTTTCTGAATACTAAACCAGGGGCATATAAATTATCATCAGCACCACATGATTTTGCTTACACTCTCTGCTCCCTATAAGTATTTAAAGATAAAAGACCACGCAAACATTAAGCAATATTTAACTATATCCAGATGTCCCTCTGCTTATTTTTTGAAGTTTCTAATTCTAACAGCTTGTTAGTGGATCAGGGAATTTTTTTTTTTTTCCCATTTTATTATAATATTAGTAACATATTGGTATGTTTAAAATTAGAAGAATTAGTTACACTATGTTTAAAGTAATATCACTATAAAATCAGAAGCTAAGTAATCTTTGCAATCACATACAAAAGAACAGTTAACATGCAGTATTAGTGTGTTTAGGGTAAATGCATTTGATAAGAACTGAATGATAAGACATAACCTGGCACTAAAATTAGAATTATTAAACATTCAAAGGAAAACATTTAAAACTAGGTAAAAGAAAGGAGTCAGAAAAGATTATATTTCTACAGTTGCAATATAATATGGCTATGAAATTTAAATTGATAAAAATTTTATTCTGATCTTTTTTCAAATTAGAATACTGAAATTGAATGCTTTTATGAAGCTTCCTTAATGATTTTAGCTTACAATTTCATTTATTCTTACCATCTTGTAAGTTTTATCCTTCTGAAGTTGTGCAGCATTCATAAAAAGTCCAGAAGCCAAACATTTTCTGTAAACACAAAAAATAATGCATACTCAGGTCAAATTTATTCATTACAAAATCTAAACAAGAGCTTTTTCAGCAAATGCTAGAGTATACAAAACAGTAATAAATACATAAAATATAAAAAAATAGTATTACCTCCCTTTAATCTTTTACATATATATTTCACAAATCCTACTGTTTGTTTATTAGAGTTTGAGAGATTGGTAAAGTTTTAATTTTTTGAAATTATTTTCTTTTATATAAATCTTTTTCAGACAATAAAGTCAAAAAGATATACTTTTTATGGGCATTAGAAAAATATATTTTACAAATACATTACACAAGTTTTAATTTATTACAAAACATCATGCTTCCAACAAAGTTTATGAATGTACACCAGAATATCCATAAATTGCTTGCTTCTTTGTGTTTTTGCAGTTCTAAGCTCCCTAGATGACTTACCAGGTATTAGTATCCTAGTTTTTCTGACATTTCTGACATATAAATATATTTAGTAAAATAAGATGGACATTATTACATACATATTATTGATTATTTTGATACAAAAGTTCATATTTTGATACTGAAATTTAATCAAAATTAAGACATCCAAATTTTTAGTCATACACTTATAGCAGAAAGGTGTTTAACAGAACAGCATAAAATTATATGCCTCTGATTAAGAATTAGAACTGTGGTGCATAAATCGTAAGTCAAAACCGCCCCATGAAGTAGCAGTTTGATGACAAAAAATATATTATATTTCTTCAACAAGTATCACATACTAGTAAAATAGTACATAATATCTATATTTTGGGAAGCAGCAGATGAACATAGTGATAAAAGATTATCATCAATTTGAGATGCCCTCTACCTGCAGTTTGGTGGGATTCACATGCACACTTGGACTAGTCTGACCTTTGCCAGTGGCGATCTTTGCTACAGCTTTATACAACTTACAGCAGTTGTGAGATCAAATAATCTTCCTTTCCAAATATGCACATATGTCTATCGTAAATTTGTGATGCAAGCAATGCTTGTTTGCATTCACTGCAGCGTGTAAATGGTATGTGAGCTGAGCTTGTTGATGACCATCAAAATCAGGTGTGATAGGTTGGAAATGAAAACAGTTTGAGCACCACTGAATTAAATGACAAAGGTCCATGTGAATGAAAGTCAATAAGATGTTTGCTTTGCATTTTGCAGTATTACTTTAGCATACAGCTACTGCGATGTTGCATGAAAACAGAAATGTAACCAGTGTGATAAAAGTAGTTTTTCAAATACATTATTTTAAAATTTCCTAATAATTATATATTAGTGTTTTAAAATATAGAATAAAAATGTAAAAAGGTCCTACAGATGATTTTTGTTTTATTCCAGATTAATAAAAAATAGCATTTCTATAGTAAATGACAATTTCTGAAAATACATCTTTAAATACTCAAAATATTATAATGTATTTGCTTATGGAATTCTCAAATGATCCAGAAACATTACATGAGTCCAAATTAATTAGGATTTATTCAAGAGAGATTTAGATAACAACATTCACAACTTTGGAAGACATCAAACTCCAGCATATCAAAAAAGAAACACAAAGAAAATTTCAGCACCACTTGAAAGAAGTTTGGTACTCTTCTGTTACCATGACTGGATTCAGAAATGTATGTAGGAATGCATGTGTGTATGGATGTACACCCAAGAGCCATTACATTATAACAACCCTCCATCTATAACAACGGGCTCACGCAGGAAAAAAACCACTGTGTGTGCACGGCTAACATTGGATTATATAAAGCGGCTATGCATGTCTTTCCAAACATAGTGTGTTAACAAAATAATGGAAAAAGCGGCTGATTTATCAGACTTTAATAAAGGTCAAATCTTTATGGGTTGGCGACTGGGAACATGAATATCAGAAATGGCATGTTTAGTGAGCTGTTCACGTGCAATTGTTGTGAGTACATATCGAAAGTGGTTTATATATGGTGAAGCAACAAGTCAGACGGCCAGCAGTGAGTCATTGACAACGCATTGATTTCAGAGGAAAGCAGAGATTGCTATGCATTGTTCGCCATGACCTAAGAGCTACAGCAGCTGAAATTACCACCAGCTACTGCAGTGGTGACCCAGACAGTGTTTCTCAACACACTGTGCAGCATAAACTGCTGCATGTAGGCCTACGCAGCCAGAGGTAAAAATATGTCCTTGCATGTCATCACCAGCTGCGTCTACAGTTGGCCAAGTAGAAAGTTGCATAGTCTGATGAATCACGTTTTCTGGTCTATCACAATGATGGGTGTGTGCTAATACGCCAATTTCCAAACAATATCCTGGCTCACAGATGCACAGTTGGATAGAGACAAGCCGGTGGTGGGGGTATTATGGTGTAGTCAATGTTTTCATGGAGCACATTAGGACCCATAATTCCCATAGGACAATCCCTGATGGCTGTGCACTATGTGGACATCATTGCACACAAAGTTCACTCATTTGCGACAACAGTTATTTCTGACAGGGGATGGTGTTTACCAACAAGAAATTGCATCATGTTATAAGGGTCGAATTGTCAGACAGTTGTTCGAGAAACATTCCAGCGACTTTCAAGTTATGTCTTGGCTCCAAATTAACCTGACATTAATCCAATACAGCATTTGTGGCCCTACCTGGAAAACCAAATTTGTGCTGCTACACTACCCTCTCACAATGTGCAGGAATTGTAGGACCAGTTGGTGAGAGCCTGGTACCAGATACCTCCAGACAACGCGGAGGAAGATATGCCAGCACAGAAAATTGTTCGCATGAATACCACCATCCCACCGACTCCACATGATATACCATTTAGTGACAAGGAAGTCAAGCAAATTTTCCAACACGCCTACCCCTGAAAAAGGCCCCCGGTCCCAGACGGCTTGGACTATATAACATCATCAAAGTTGCCTACAAAGCACGTCCCTCCTTCTTCTCCACAAATTCTTTAACCAACTGTTTGACAACCAAATATTCCCGCAGGCATTCAAGAAAGGACAAGTTGTCCTATTCCTGAAAAAGAATAAAAGCCCGCAAGACCCGCGCTCTTTTCGCCCGATATGCCTTTTGCCAACCCTGGGCAAAATTTTTGAGAAATTAATTGTTAACAGACTAAAATATCATCTCCATAGCAACAATCATCTCAGCCCCAGGCATATGGCTTTCGCACTGGTCTGTCCACTACGCATGCCCTCTGCAAAATTCATGAAACAATTCAACGCAATAGCACCACAGGTTTCCATACAACTTTCATATCCATTGACCTCCAGAGTGCGTTTGACACACTCTGGTGGCCAGCGATAAGACAGGCCCTCCGAGACGCACAGTGTCCATCCAACCTCTTCAGCGTTTTTAGTAGTTATCTAGAGAATCGTAGTCTTCTCATAGTCATCAACAATGACACTACCTTCAAAGTGCAAGAAAGAGGATGTCCCCAAGGCTCTTGTGCTGGACCGATTCTCTGGAATTTAACATTCAACTCTGTACTGGATGCAAACTGGCCACGACATACAAGTGTCGCCTACGCAGACGACGCAGCTCTTCTTGTCAAGGTCGCACTCGTGCGGAGCTCGAGAAAAACGGCACCGAAGTCTGCTCACCCTCCTCGCCAATATCTGCAGCAACTTAAAGCTTACAATCTCTACCGCAAAGTCATCAGCAATAATAATACCCAAAGCAGGCCCGAATCCAACGCGCCGCCCCTGCATCAAACTACAAGGAGCCAACATAAAGATTGTCCAAACGCTAAAATACCTAGGTGTAATCTGGGATAAAAAACTAACCTGGATCCCTCACATCCAAGAACTAAACAACAAAACATCAGCTATAGCCAGAAAGGCACGCGCCTTCCAAGGTAGAAACTGGGGTCAGAATCATCATATTCAGAAGATATCCTCTACCACGTGGTAGCTAAGAAAATAGTCTTGTATGCTGCTGCCGCATGGGCCCAACCGATGGGAGGACGAAAGATCAAACATCTTACACATCTCTTCAACGACCATTCGCCCTGAATCTCTGTAAAGCGTACCGCACCACAGCCACCAGCTCAGCGACAGTCCTTGCAGGGCTCATTCCACTCCACATACGGGCAGAACAAGAGGCAGTGTCTACACCACCCTCATATACCTCCGCAAAGATGCAACATTTGGCAACATAACATACAGCCCTCTGCAATTTCAAAGCCCAGGTAACACACTCTTCACACTCATCCTGCACGTAAAGGCACAGGAATAAGAATTAACATCTCACGGATACAGCCACTGTCAATGACGCGAGTTTCAAGGGATACGCAAATATACACCGACGGCTCTAAGCAGGAAGATGGAGTAGGCAGCGCCTTTGCACACTATGACAAAGGAAGAATCAATCATCCATGTATGGAAAGGACGCCTTGACTTAAACAACAGTGTGTTCCAGGCGGAGGTGCAAGCAATTATAACCGCGGTAGATTACATTTTCAATAATAATATAGAACGGGCGAAAATTTTCACTGACAGTATGTCAACAACGCTTCTAGCACTAGATAATCACACCACCACACCTCGCCCTTGATCATCAAATTACAACAACTTTTACAGCGCAACCCGCAGAAACATCTCTCCTTAACATGGATCAAGGCACATGCAGAAAATGAGGGGAATGAAGCAGCTGATAGCCTGGCCAAGCAAGCAGCCACTGATCCAGAAGCTGAAAAAATCACAATCCCAGCCCCTCCTTCCTACCTCAAAGGGCTATTACGGGGTCAAGGCCTAAATCTTTGGCAGGAAGACTGGACGCACTGCACAACTGGAAGACGTACATACAGCTACCTCCCTCCCGAAAGTCAGCACTGAACGCAACATTGCAATAGCTCCTCTTACGGCTTATATTACGGGACACGGCCCATTCCCGACCTACTTCAATAGACATGGCATAACAACCACGGACATATGCGCCTGCGGAGCGGAAGGCTCCCCAGACCACTATGTTTTTGAATGCCATCTGACAGCAGGAAATCACCTCCCTCTTCCTATCAACAATAGTGAAGCTTATCACCGCTTCCTTATAAAGCACAAACCGGCAGTAAATACAATTTGCAAAGTTGTTAACAAGCTCAAGAGAATGGGCCAAGATTTGTGCTCTCCTCATTAACCAAAACTCTCAAGACATGATACACTAACTAAGTCAGCATGCAGTTCCACATTCTCAGACACATAAGTCTACTCCTAAAATTTACATAAGTCCCTATTACAGACACCTTTCAAATAATGTACAATCAAATGTATTTAACATTTCCTCTTCTGTATATGCATAATACTTTTTTTTTTTTTTATTTATTATTTATTTTATTTTATTTTTATTTATTTATTTATTATTTTTATTTTTATTTTTTTATTTTATTTTATTTTTATTTATTTTTTCCCCCCGCTATGAGCCTGTAATTTGATCCTATTATTTTGTAACTGTATTTTTGTATCTGTATATTTAATTTGTATTTTTATTAGAATTTTATTGTGAATGTGCAAAATTACCATAGCAAATTGCAACAACACATGTCAAAACGGTAAAACGAATGCAATCTGCCCTTGTATGGCCATGTAAATGATCTTGTTAACATCCTAAAAAGCTCCCGAGGCGGCCTCTTGAGGCCCCAGGGAGTTGTTCCTGGTTAGTGGAGGGCGCGGGACACATGCCTGTTTACCTCTTAGACATCAGGCGTCCCCGTCCTCCGTTACCAACCAACCAACCAGATACCTCAGACTACGTATCAGCACATTGTGGAGTCAATGCCATGCTGGGTGCTGGCAGTTTTGAGGGCTAAACATGGTCCTTCATGTTATTAACAGTGAGTCATAATGTAATGGCTCTTCGGTGTATGTGCATGTATGTACATATACAACATATATTTATATATGTGTGTACGCGCACACATCCATACACATGTGAATACATAACATACATTTCTGTATCCGGTTCCGATAATAGAAGGTACCAAAAGTTTCACTTACTAAGCTATGTAACTAATATTAATTTTTAATACTTTGGTTATGAAGAAACATTTAACTTCATCAAAAATTTTCAGCTCGAGAAATTTGACTAATTAAAGTTTAATTGTATTATTAAAGTTTGAATAGTTCCTATATATGGAAATTTCATCTATTAAGTCCATCACAATTATCTCAAGTACATCACAAGACCTAATTGTACCTAATTACCTCAAAATTATAAACAATGAAGAGAAAAATTTTAAACTATGACCTGTGTATATATAAATGATAAAATCAAACTCAGAAGTAAATGACCAGCAAGAATTTTGATGGCGTAAAATTGTTGATCCATAATGAATAGGAAATTGGAGGCGAAGAAGGCAGATTAAATCTTAATTTTTTATTTCAGCAAACATGTTGCGGCCACAATCAAGTTGGCACATTAACTGTGCCTATTCCAAAAAGTTTACATTCTATATAAATTTGCAGCAAGATAGAAGGAACAGACAAACTGCAGTCCAGCTAGGCTAAAGCGTAGAAAGCAAGTGCGTAATGTTCAGGGTGAAATCTAAATTCAGACTTAGTTAGATTTGGTTCTCGATGCATTTTGATTTGATAGTTAATATTGCTGTAAAATTACTATTGGCTGTTTGAGCTTTAGTTCCATTTACATCATCAGAATTATATAAGAGTCATATGACATGGATTAGTCTCAAAATGATGCAGAGCAAATAGAGGTTATTATTTTTAGAATTGAGAAGGGAAATTAATTTATGCTGCCAATTTAATCTTTTACATATTCTTTATTTTTCTTACATTATATATATATATAAATTATTTCTACATCTTGAGATGAATAAAAATTAACTTTCATTTTCATCAAATATCCACTTACACAATTGCTATAAATTTTAAAGTCATCAAAGTCTGCTTTGAGTTCTATTTGAAACTTAATCAGTATGCATATACATTAAGACGGAAAACATATATAAAATATACTTTATTTATACTTGCCCTCATTTATTAATACCTCCATTAATATTTAAATGCAAGGAATAGACCATATTTTATTGACAGTCATATATTCTACTCAGACTATGGGATTTTTCAGTCTCAGTTCTACGTAACTAAAACCAAAGGAAATATAAGCACCCTTCTTTCTGCTATAAAGTTGACAGTTAACTTTTAAATTATTTTTACCCCTTTCTATATATGAACACACACACATGTAGTACATACATACATATACAGAAGAGGTCACGTGCTCATATATGTTTACATTTTTACAAAATAAATGTTGTTTCTGAATAAAAGCCTTGCTCAGAATCAGCCAGCCAAACGATGCAAACATTTCAGGATTAAAATAAACTCCCGTGAAAGCAAAGAATGAAGCTAAGTAATGAACAATGTTGACTGATGATTATTTTTGTTATTGATCCCAAAAGTCCCTCCTGTTTAAATGAGGTTGAATAACATTCAACAGATTTAGCACATTTTATAATATTAAAAATATTTTATAAACTAATATACGGAAAAGCAAATTAATTATCCTTGAAAAGCTACTGTCATTACACTTTTCTGTTATATTTTTTATAGTATTCAATATTAAGAGTAGATGAAAAATATGAACATTACTTAATTACCTTATTCGAATAGTTTCTTTATTACATGAACAGGATTTAATCCCAATTTTTTCACACAGACTACTTAGCTGCTTTCGCACAGTGATCGCTTTTTTAATATTGCGTGCATTTACACAATTTTCATAACACCAAGACTGGAAAATAAAAGAAATTTATTAAGTTTGTCAACAACAAAGATAATTTTTAAACTATAAAATATACAGAAAAGATTTTTCCTTTAAAAATAATGAACTATTTAATTAATATCTGAAAGAGTACACACTAATTCCTTAATGCACATTGTATGAAAAATCTCATATATTTATATATTTAAAAAAAATCTTTTTTATGGAAAAATAATATTTTAATCAGTTTTTATTTAACTGTTAACAACAGTTACACATTTTGCCTCTTTTAAGAAGGTAGCAGTATCATTTTGTCTATATCAATTGCTACAAATGCCTATTTTTGTTAGTAAAAGTCACTCTAACATGCCTTCATTAATAGTGAATCTAAATTTAGTCTTTGTTTCAGCAATAATATTAAAAACCTTCTCGTATTCTGGATTATTATAAAGAATTACAGGAATGGTCAATCTTATGTTAGATATTTATTTCAAAATTCCATCTACATTTTTCAGTTTTCCGACTGAATTTTACTGTGTACCAACCCTTTAAAACATTTCTCGATGCATATTAAACTTACACTATTTAGTGACAAAAAAAAAAAAAAAAAAAGCACTGTGTAAGCAAAGTGAGCCTCAATGGAGCACCATCTATTGGGGAAAATAATAACAAACACGAACTAAATAAATTCTGAAAAACATTAGAAAGGACTGGATTGAAGTCATTAATTAAAGAAGAAGAACTTTTGTTATTGTGAAAAGCTAAAAAAAAAAAAAAATCCAATTCACCAACTGAAGAAGTTTTTCAAATTCAACACACATAACTAGACTATAAGGAAAGAAAAAGAATTTTCCCATTAACTTTCAAAACAACTGAATGGCTGTGTCAATCAAATTCAGACCAGATAAAATTTGGTTAAATCTGCTTTATTATCTTCAAAAAGCATACATGTATCATCAATATAGTGAATCCAGGGCTGAAAGATTTTCAAATAATTTGACTTTAAAATAGAACATGCCAATGTTAGCAAAGACTGCAATGAAGGGATTACCCCTATCTAGTCCTTCAGTAAGGCAGAAGTAATCACTTTGGAATGCGAAGTGGGTCTGATTCAAAGAAGCTTTGGCAGAAATCAACTCTTCAATTTCAGAAACATTCTTATTGTTCTATTCTTATTGTTAGAGTTCTCATTGTCTGGTTTTAGTACATTCTGATACTCTGTCAATTGAAACATTACACAACGATTTAAGATCAAATTAAACCATGACTGATGAAACAATGCAGAGAAGAAATATCTTTAAGTTTATCAAAACTTGAAAACAAATTTTTATAGTGTAAACACTCTGAGGAAGTAATGCAAAAAATCTAGACATAAAATATATGTCTTAAGCATTAAATATTTTAGACTATACCAAAGTTAGTATGATGAAAGGAATCAGATGAATAGAAATTCCAATTTTGGGAATAGTATAAAAATCCAGACATGTTAATAAATTAACTAACCTATGTCAGTATAACGAAGACCAAAATGCGGTGAAATATTTTATGTTGACAAGCTGAAATCACACTTAAACATAAATAAAAACAGAAGCTTTCATAAAGGAACCATTTGCTTCATCAGCTGATACCAGTTCAGGTCACAAAGCAAATCGGTTGCCTGCAAAAGCTCTTACTTATGTTTAAATGTAGTTTCAGCATGTCAGTCTAAAATATTTGATGTCATTTTAACCTTAGTTACTTCCTGCACAAACTGTGCAACTGCATGAGGTAGCTCAATGCCTTCCAGCTATCAGTGCAATTATTAGCCTTTCTAATAAATAAATGCTATTTCATATTATACTGGCAGCAAATCCTTCAAAAGCTTTGTGCCCTGTGATGCAAAATTATTTATTATAAGACCAGTCTATAGTAAATTTTGAATGATGGCTACTTTTGGTTATAAGAAGTTTGAAACCCGTAAGACAAAAATTAAGTGGGATATTTGATTTCAAAATATGCAATTTTTATGTCATTTTTCAACTTGCCTCGAGGAATCAGTTAATAAATTTAGAATTATTCGAGGAAATAAGTTTAAATGAATTGCAGCAAAAAAAATGTTATAATTTAATAGGATGTACAAGGAAACACATTCTTTTCCTGCATTGTCACCATTCTGTAATAGCACTATCTTTGGACTGCCATTTGGTTTTTAATGAATGCAAACTTTTAAGCAGTCGCCAGATGTGTGTTTCATGAAAACTTAAAAGAGCTTCTGGTTCTAATTTATCAATCATTATCATATGTGCAATATTTTAAGAACTACAGTAGTTTGAAATCAATGAATCATTTACATTAACTCTATATTTAATTTAAAATTAAATAGACAAATGAGATTTAAAACAATATAAAATAATAAAACAATACATTTCTTCAAGGAATGCTTACCGGAATTCCTTTACTATTTTTATATGCTTTATATACATTAAGGAGCATAATCAGATCTCCTTCTGAAGATTCAAATTTTTCTCGCACTTCAGCAAATTTCTCCCTCTAAAACACAGAAGGAGTATGCAGACATTAAAAAAGAGAAATAAAGTTTTAATCATTTTCATTGCAATATATAGTAAAAGTGAAAAAATGCAAAAAGCATTTTTGGCTCAATGGTAATGCAGCTGTTCAAAAGCATTTTAAGTTCATGCCTTTTTTCGCTTTTTGCTGCAAAACATTGCAAGTTTTAAAGTCTGCCGCCCAGTTTCTTCCTCAATTTTAAAAGTTTCATTTCCCCTAAATTCTGATAGGTCTGCACTGGTTGCAATGCCCCTGGTTCCGGTCCTGGATACAGTATATTAGTGAAATTAAAAGATGACTGAATCACATACTTTACGGAAAGTTTAAATTAAATGTATTAAGTAAGTAGATATTTTGAACAATCATATAAAAGAATAAATGATTTATATTTAGTGGAAAATGTAAGCCCTTTTCAATATCATATCTTGATATTTTACAATCAAACAGAGCATAGCAGGCTCATTTCATTTTCTTCATAAGACTTTTTTAATAGTATTCATTTCATTGTTCATTGTTTATGATACTAAAAAATAAAAGTACTCTATTGTCAAATTTTGTCTTCAATACATTACCACAAGATAGTCCAATTACAAAAATACATGACCTTAAAATTATTTTTATGAAAGTATTCAATACTTTGCAATATCTTGGGACATGACAGCATGCAGTTTGCAAGCCATTGCAGTAAGCATTTAACAAAGCACAGCAATTTTTAAAAGTATAATAATTTGCAGCAATATATTTTTTTAATTACAACTGTTCAAAGCAACTTCTATAACACAGAGGGAAGATGCAGACATTAAAAAAGAGAAATAAAGTTTTAATAATTTTTGTTGCAATATATAATAAGAGATTTTTCCATTTTTTTTTTTTTTTTTTTTTTTTTTTTAATTAAAAAACTAGCAATTTTAATAAACACATTTAGTGAATTCAAAAAGTGAAATTTTAAGTAAATAAATTTCATATTTTGTATTTTGAAACATTATTATCTCAACAAAATAAGAATATTAATCATGGTTAATAAATTTAGATATTACTTATATCACATTTATTATGTAATGAGTTTTTATTTTATATACAATTAGTTCATAACGATACTATTCTGCATTTAAAATGTTTTCTACTTCCTGTAACATCTTAGTATTTCCACAGATTTCACTAAGCTGAATAAAACAGATTTTTTTTTTACTCTTATGCACCAATTTTAAGAAAACAAGGGAAAAAATAAAGCTAAAACATTAATTAAAAATTGATGTTTATTCACTTTTGATTTAAAAAACAAAAGAAAAGAAAACCCACTTAAAACCCTGGAAAGACCAAAGGGAGAAACTAAATCAAGGCAAAATTTTTGTTTTAAAGTATATGAAGATAATTATACCCCAATCTATGCATCAGAATTATAACAGAAATGTTACAATTAATGAATTCCCCCCTTTTTTTACTGCAGAATATAAAGAAAAACAAATATACTCAATCCTGAAATTTTAAAAAACTGTTGTAATAAATTAAGCATGCAAAAGAAATTTTACTTAATGAAGGGAAGAAATTATTCAAAAAACTTTATAGAGAAAATACAAAAAAAAATCTAATCAACTGAGAAAGATAAAAGTTATAGATAAGATAAAGATAAAAGCATAAATTAAATTTTAGCTAAGCTATAAATAACAGTAAGTCATTTTTACATCATAATAGATAGTCATTTTTACATCGTAACAGATAGTCATTTTCCCATCATTCAGCTATAAACATATACAGTCAAAAGTCTTTAATCCGGACTCGTTGGGACTTCGGCGATTCCAGATTATCGATTTTTCTGGATTATAGATCATCAGTTTAAATCTGGTAAGATTGCATGCAGAAATTATAAAATTAAAAATATGAAACCGTAATTTATAAAATAATGAGCAATTATGATCTAAAGGGTATCAAAATTTACAAAAAAAGAAGCTTAATATTTATTTGTTTACTTTATTAAACATTTCTTTAAACGCGCGCATGCGTAAAGCATACATTACGCATAGTCGAAATTAGAAAATTGCAACCAGAAAACTATTTGATTTGTATTCGTGATATTTATAATGAGGAGGAATTTGATTTAAATCATATCAAAGACGGAGTAGATCGAGATGAAATACAACATTTAGTAAGGAATTATAAGCCGACTAAAATAAAAACATCTGCCCTGAAGATAACGATAGTGCTGACAGATCAACTTCCAGTTCATTGCTTGCCGTGGCGTCCCCCCCCCCCCGCGCAGAGCAGCGTGAAATTAATAAACAGATTTCGGAACGGTTAGATAAACAAAGGATATGCCTTTATCCATTTTTTGTAGCAATTCCACTTTTTGTATGATGGACATCGAAACATACTTTCGTTTTGTAGATCCTTTGGGAGCTCCAGCATCAGAAATTCTATTTGACATAATCCAAAGTTCAAGCTTACTTTTATAAAATTGCTCTTACAGTATGCAAAAAATAATAAGCCGGATCCAATTCGAAGATTAAGGAACAACGCAATCATCAACATTAACTGTAATAGATAATTAGATAATTTTAGCTTATACCGTCCGTTACTAAACGTGCACGCGAAAACGTATTCTACGCTTGCGCAGACGCATATGCAAGTCGTAAAGGTCTTACGCGCACGCGTAAACGCCTATGCACATGCGTCAACGTGGTGCATGCGCAGAAAGATTTTAGCTTTGAGGTCCGGATTATAGATCATTCTGGATTATGGGTGTCCGAATTAATGACTTTTGACTGTATATATATATTTTTAAGAGAAAACAGTTATCAGGATTTCATTATATGTTCTACACTTTAAACATGGGAAGGGGGGGAAATCACAAAATTTGGGGAAAATGTATTTCAGCTTTTAAAAAAAATGGAGTTTTTCTTTCTTTATTTTTTAATGTGCATTTTTGCATGTAAAAAATAAATTCTGAGTATAACTGCTACACAAAAGAATAGTAGTTTGAATAAATGATGATGAAAAAGAACAGCTGGTTTGAACCAATGATCTGAGCCTCACAGGTCAATGCATATTTATAGTCATAGTGCAATTATTGCACCTCTATGCCTATCTGGTATATGAGTTTGCATTAGTATTGCACAACATAAAAGCGGCAAAAAAAACATACAGCTAAATCATTCATAAGGAAAGAATTTAGGATAAACTACTATATTCAGCAGTTTTATTTACTGACTACTAGTACACATTGTATTCACAAAAATTAGATTTGACCATAGCAAAGCTTACTGGGGTTATCAACTTAGTGAATGATGTATTTTTGAAAGACTTTTAAAGAGGAAACTGGCTTGCATTCATGTTACACAACTGGGAAAACAATGAAAATTCATATTCTGCCATATTTGCTGGGATCAGACCTCAGATCATTCTGCCAGTCTTATGGTCACAGCCACTGGTGAGATATTGCTCTCATTAGACATGACATTGAAAAAGGCATCTTAATGTTAAAAAAAAATTCCATCATATGCAGGCGAATACAGAATTATTTAAAATTAATTCATGGGAAGATGCAAGAAATGCAATTAGTATTTATAGAAAGTATTTATAGAAAAGCAAAAAACTAATGAAATTAAAAAGTAGAAAAGTACAACAGATATTTTTTTTTTTTTTTTTTTTTTTTTAATGTAAGCATTTTCTCTTACAGAAAGCAGAAGAAGCAAAGTGGAAAAAGGCCAAATATAGAGAGTAATTGTATAATATACAGTTCAGCAAAGCTGGTTAAGTTTAAACCTGCAAAGAAGAATTCAGAATGAATTTTTCAAAGATTTTCAAGTTACTTAAGATTTTTAAGTTACTTAAGTTAAGATTTTTTACGTTTACTACATCAATTTCATTCTTGTAGCTCTCAAAAGTGGAATATACGATTTATAATTTTTTTTAATTCAATATAAAATTTTGATTTTTTTTAAAGATATTTGAAGTCGTCAGCTATTTTCCCACGGACTCCCATGAAGTCTGGGAAAAGGAGACTTCAAATGGGTGCCAGATGACCACCATGATGACACTTACGAATTCTTGAGGTCGAACGTGACCCCCAACAAAGTGCGGAAAGCATATTGTTTTACGAAAGGAGAAAACTTTCATACAAGTTCTCACGGGTTGTGGAGTGTCCATTGTGTGTATGCGATAGATAGACTGTCGCCAACTGCCTGTTTCTCGAAATAATTTAGATAGACCTCCCAAAAAGACGTTTTGAATTTTCCCACGGAAAATCTCAGTTTCTCAGGCTGTCAAGACAGTATCTGAAAACAAATCAGCGCCTGTTAACCAATGGAGAGATGCTCCGAAAAAGACGTTTAGCGAATCACTGCAGCAGACGCACAAGACACGCCCAGAAAACCTGGACATAAAAACAGTGAGTGAAAATAATTAGAGATTAGTCGTTGCGTAGAGAAGAGAGAGCCTTTCTCTTGTATTTTACGGCTCTTCCCGTCGCTAGTAAGCTTAGAGAGCCCCTTTCTCTCTTGTGAGCTCGTCCCGAGTCGCTACTAAGCTCTGTCAAGAGCGGAAAAAGAAACTCTCAAAGAAGCGTAGCCGGACTTTTTCTCCGCTACCTCTGTTTGAACTGTGTTTGAACTCAAGTGATTATCGTTTTCTATTGTAAACGGACTACTTTGCTAAGCAACCTACTTTGTTATGATAAGCAGTTGAACTTACCTTAAAATTCAATTTGTGAAATTTAACACTTACCTTTATTTTATTTACGCTACCCAAAATAAAAATCTGACTGTTCTAAAATCGCTACAGCTAGAAGGTATGTGTTAATTGGTGGCAGCGGTGGGATCGTAAAAACCCAATAGACAAACAAAGACGTGATCGTTTTGGAGAACCGTCCCGGTTCTTATCTTCATTCAGAATCAGCCGATTCTAGCAGTGGAAAAGAATTCTTTCGCAGTAAAGTTTGGAGAGTTTAACCAGCAGCTGAAAAGGGATCATCGATGAGAAGCGTTCGT